AAAGTTCCATGTGAGAATTGTTTTATACTTTACACGATATTTATGCAACATTTCGCAGCTATTTATGTTTAGCATTAAAGAGTCATTTCCTGTCCATCTAAAAGTCACTCTGTTCTTTTCTATCTCCTGTGGGACAGGTTTTGATGTCGTTACTTAACGATCACTTTGGGTATTAGCAAGGCAGATGTTTCTGATATGGTCCGCCAACTGCTTTCGGATTATCGGTGATTTCCTTCGCGAAGTTCTGTCGTAATCCATCATTTTCTCACCAGAAAAAAAAAATTGTCAACATATCTCGTTTCTCACCAGAGTACTAACAACAAAAAAAAAAAAAAAAGCGTTAAGTTACTGGTTGAATGACACAAAGTAACTGTTTTACTTAAACACATACGTTATCGCCCGTTCCCCCCCCCGTTTTTTTTTTAAAGTGTCCAAAGGGCTTTTAGCCTCTATTCCGTTACGTGATGTAATTTACCTTTCCGAGAATATCCATCACATTATGCTATATTAACATTACGTAATTTACATGTTCTTTCACATTACGTAATAAAAATAATGATCCGTTATGGGTCCGATTATACGTAATAATAATCGAACAATTAATTATACATAATCGCCGATATTCATTATATTACATAATGTAAATATTACACATTTCTCATAATTCTTGACATTACGTATTGGAAATAATATTCTGTAATTTTTCCATTACTCAATTCAGTCTTTCCCAAATATTCGTTATATTATGTAATTTAAACATGATGTAACGAAATTATTTCCTTTTCCGTAATAATTCTGTTACATATGATATAACTTAGTTTTTCGTAAATATCCGTCATATTACCCAGCATAAGTATTACTTATTACTCATATCTCTTGATATTACGTAAGGCAACCAATGTTCCGTAATTTTTTCATTGCGTAATAAATTCCAGTCTTTCGTGATTATTTGTTACATTTTGTGATATAAACACTACGTGATGCACATTCTCCTTCACATTACGTAATGGAAATAATTTTCCATAATGATTCTATTACCTAATGAAATTCGGTCTTCTGCAAATGTTAGTTAAATTACGTCATATAAGCATTACATAATACACATGCTTCTTCATATTATAAGGTTAATATTACTTAAACTAACAAGGCAATATGATTATGCCTTTACTATAACTTCTCCTTTCCGTTTCCTCACCAGAATATGCAAATTAATTTGAGAGCATTTAAACAATGATTTTGCCTGCCTCTAGTCGCCATATTACTAGGCTTCGCCAGCTCTTATGAGACTGAAATTATTCGGCTTTATGTTATGACTGCCATCATTTCAATTGTTACGCCGGTGTAAGTTCTGAGAAAAATTTTGAGTTAAATTGTGTACGCTTAACTACCAGCTTACATTTAAAATTTTCAGTTTGACAGTTACTTTAAGCTGCGTCGCCACAAGTAGTGGCTAATTACGTAAGTACGTAATTACTAATTATGCTCTCAAAGAAAGTCAAACTCTATAACATCACGTAATGGAAATAATTGTCCGTAACGATTCTTACGTGAGGCAATTTAAAGTTCCAGAAATATCCGTTACTTTGCGTAATCTAAACATTACGTACATACTGCCGCCCAACTGGAATTGTGGGTAGCGACTCTGTCTGCCGTACCGAAGGGCCTATGTTCGAATCCTGGAGAAGGTATGGATGTTTGTAAATGGATAGTGTCCGTGAGGCAAGGCGGAAGACCTCTCGAGAGGTGGTAGGGGAAAAGAGGTGGGAGGCCCTAGACGCCGTCCCCGCCAGAATGCTCTTCATTAAAACTGGGGCTGGAACTTGTACTGTCACCTATAAGGTGTTCAAGGCTCTTACGACGACAGGCGCATTATGTACTTCTTGCGCAATCTTGTTCTCCTTGCCGCGATGAATTTCGTGGGCTTCTTCTGATGTTTCTGTCAGACAAGTCACAACAACAACGTACACACTCATTTACATATCTAGGTTTTCTTTGTCTGGCTGTGATTCTCTATCAAGCAGATACTCTTCAGCTGCAAGGTGTTACCATTCGACACTGCAATATCTTTAAGCAAATTTTTCCGTCGAAAGCTAAGAAGCAAGATAAGAATGTAATTTTGTTGTTGTTGTTGCAACGGCGAGCACTAGCCGTTGTAGGCGACGGCCACTATTAAAGCCGGAAGCGGGGGTCAGTTTATTACGAGGCACCTAACAGGTGGGCCACCGTTGCCTACAATTTACATCCAGGCCTTCTACGGAACTCGACCCCTGGCCCTTCGGTACGGCAGTAATACTTTCTCGCCTGGGCTGCTGAAAATTAAAATTTAAACTATAGGAAATCAACATAATTTTCATTCATTTTCTCAGCTTGTATTTAATGTCTTTGATTGCATCGTTGGTGTAAATGCAAGAATATTTTGCACACCAGATGACAAAAGTCTTCATACAAAAAGAACTTTACCAAACAATACCAATTTTTACGCCATATTTTGAAATAATATTATTCTGGAAACGTCCTACTGCGCGAACATCAATTTAAATTCTTCCACAATTAAATACGTATCATAAAAAAAAAACTGAAATCAAAGCTTTGAGGGAATAGAATTTCAGAATATTTCTGGAAAAGAATGGAATGTTAACAGTTTCGTAAATAGTCCGAGGCGTGAAAAATTTAATAAACTGTTCAGAGACCTCAACAGAAAGCGCAGTTTGATAAATAGTTCGTGGAGTGGAGAATTTCAGTCTGTCACCGAAAAATAAATTGAGTTATTTTGTTCATATCCGTTTTATGCATTTTAGCAAAGTGAGAAACTTCTCGGAAATTTACACCGGGACAATTTTTGTTAATATATGTGCTACAGTGTAGAGTTAACGCGTGTCTTGGAATAAAATCAGTATGTGTTTAACTGTGTGTAAAATATCAGAGCAAAATATCCATGCATACACAACAGACGTAAAATAGAAGTTTACGTATAAGTGTATCCTCAGTGTCTAAAGCTATAGCATGAAATACACCCGGGTAATTTACCTTTAAATGTACGCATCAGGGTGAAATTTGTACATGTGAAATGCTTAAATTTCAACGTAAAATGTTTATGTATATGCTACTGTGTACGTATCCGTGTATCCTCACTGTCTAAACTCATGTGCACAAAAATGCACTAGGGCAATTTTTATTTATATATGCGCATCAGTGTAGAGTTTAGATGCGTCCCAGCGTAAAATCAATTTAAAATGTTTAAATATAAATGTAAAATGTACGCAACAGTGTCAAACACATTTTTCTAAATCCAAGTGCCGATTATATGCACAAGGGTAATATATGTTTAAATACACGCATCAGAGCAAGAACTTGTATATATTGGAGTAAAATCAGTATAAAATGTACGAGGGGTGATCCAAAAAATAAGTTTACAAGGCAAATGAAAAAGTATTTATTAACAATAGAAACAAGATACAAATGGGAATCAAGAGACACATCTGGCCTTCACTTTTCCACAAAGTTGCCAAACCTGTTTAGGCATTTGCCAGAACGTTCGATCAACTTGTTTATCCCGTCTTGGTAGCAATCGGGGCCCTGCTCATTGAGCCATTTCTCGGCAGCTGTTTTCACTGCATCGTCTGAGGTGAACCGTGTTCCGGATAAGTATCGCTTCAACGTCGGAAAAATGAAATAGTCACTTGGAGCCAAATCGGGGCTGTATGGGGGGTGATTCCAAACCTCCCACTTGAACCTTTGCAGCAATTTCTGAGTCTGGCGAGCTGTATGGGGCCTGGCATTGTCATGCAGAAGAATGACGCCTTTGCTCTGTAATCCAGGCCGTTTGCGTCGGATGGCTTTACGCAATTTCGTTAAGGTGGCACAATAACGATCGGTCATAATGGTATGGCCACGCTCCAAATACTCGATAAGGATAACACCAGTCGTATCCCAGAAAACGGTTGCCATCACTTTACCGGCAGAGGGCGTGACCTTAAACTTCTTCCTCGTCGGTGATCCAGCGTGTTTCCATTCCATCGTGGCTCTTTTGGATGTGGGGGTGAAGTGATGAAGCCATGTTTCATCACCGGTAACGATGCGATCAATGAAGTGTTGGCCGTCTGAATGGTATCGCTGAAGAAATGTGAGGCTGCACATCATTCGAGTGGCCTTATGCTCCGTGGACAACGCACGTGGAACCCAGCGGGCACAAACTTTGGAATATCGCAACTTATCGGTTACGATACGCTGAAAGTTAACATAACTCAGGTCCAACTCTGAGGCAATCTCACGCACGGTTACTCGTCGATCCCTTTGGATGATTTCTTCAACACGTGCCGTGTTGATATCCGTCCTTGAAGAACTTGGACGGCCGCTCGCTTCCATATTCCGGTTTTCCACATGCTCCCTGCCCGCTTGATAAGAACGACAGCATTTCGCTACCTCTTGTCTACTCATTGCTTTGTCTCCGTATACCTCAACGATTTGTCTGTGAATTTCGGATGAGGCCACATTCTTGGCCCATAAGAATCGAATTACGGCTCGCACCTCTATGCGAGACCACTTTTCTAGACGTCGTGCCAGTACTGTCGCTCATAAGTGTCTGCGTACTGACGCTACTTACTCGTAGAACCGCTGTAGGACAACTAGCGCCATCTGTCAACCATCCTGGGTGGAAATATTCGCTCCACAATTATTACGTTTCAAATGCTTCTGCTGGTAAACTTTTTTTTTGGATCAACCTACGTATATCAATGTATCATATGGTACTGTGTATGTATCAGTGTATCCTGAGTGCTCGAAACCATGTGCACAAAAAAATACCACAGCAGGTTTTGTTTATATAGAGGCATCACTGTAGATTTTATGAAAGTTCCTGGGTAAAACTGGTGTAAAATGTTTAAATGTGGATGTAAACTTCAGAGAAAAGGCTTATGTATTCACAACAATATTCGCAACAAGGTCAAATAGATTTTTACGTATAAGTGCATCCTCAGTGTGTAAACCGAAGTGCCGATAAAATGCATCAAGGTAATACATGTTTAAATGCACACATCAGCCCAGAATTTGTATATATTAGAGTAAAATCAGAATAAAATGTTTACATATAAGTGTAAAATGTTTATGTATGTAAGATAAAAAATACGTAAATCACCTTTATAATTTAATTTCGTTAAAGCCTCTAAATTCCTCATTTCTAATTTGGGTACTAGTTAATTGTATTTACTTAATTGGGGTACTCTCCGTATTCTTAAGTAGTAATACCTTTTCTGGACTGCGCCGTTTTTAGATTAATCTATGTCACATAGCTTGGGTTACACATGGACCTTATAAGAGATAGACTAACCCAGTGGGCGGGGCGCGCGTCACCGACATCTCCGCAAGAAAGAGTAGGGACGATCTGGTTTACTTTAACACTGAAACCTATGGCATCACATAACTCTTTTTAATTATTAAATGTGATACGTTATATAGTGATGAGATTATAAAAGCCACAGTTTTTTCCAAATAGGATTTAATACATCTCATTAAAGCACTTTTTACTGCATTTCGCGCATTTTTTTCACGCGTAATTTATGTACAAACATCTTTACTTTGGTAAAACGGTAAAAACTCTAAGCACAAAATTTATGAACTTAATTTTGCGTAAAGTAAAATTAAATAAGATTGATAGTAAGCGATGCTTTGAAATAAATAAGGTAAAATTAAACAAGATCTGATAATTTTTTTTTAATTTAATGAACATTTCCGGGCAGTAATTTTCCAAACTATAATAACATATCAAAACGATCATATTTATTTGATTATATGATCATTAAATTATTAACATTAAAGTGGATTAGTTATTTTAATAATTCATAAAATTCGGAGCATAAAATTTTCTGAGCTTAATGAAGGAAAAAAAAAGATAAGATAAAATCTAGGAGCACTCAGGTTTTATATTACGCCCAAAAGGAACCTTTTTTTAAAGTCTTGTGTGTTACCTATATTTATTGAATATCATGTTCTTCGCCCGTAAACCACATACATTTCAAAACAGCATATCTTTAGAATTTCCGCACTGGAGATAAAACTGTTATTTTCCGTACAGTGCTCGCTCTGAACTTTGAGTTTGTTAATCAAAAATTCGTTAAAGTTTTACAAAATATGAAATAAATTAAAACAAATTCGAAATTCGGCCGTCCAGATTTGCCCATGTTCGGGTGGAGGATTACATTATTTCAAAATTTGATGGCTCTACATACTTGTCGTTTTGTCACAGTGCGAAGAAATGTACATTGTATTCATGCAGATTCTTCCTTATTTAATTTCTTTGCATATAATACAGGGCGGTAATATTTGGTAACAACAATATTGCAAGGAGACACGAACATGTTATAGTAAAACAGCGCAGAATGCCGCTTCGAAACTAACAGCCTTTCTAGTCGCCCCTTTAACGGCTAATTGACCCGGATTAAATCCTCAGTAAATAAAAAAAATCTTTATGCAAAACTAAAAATAAATTTAAAAAACTAATCAGTGTAAAATACAAGCAAATTAATTATTACGGTTAAATACAATTTTAATATTAGAATTAAATGTATAAACATTTTTAAGTCAAAAGTGTTTATCACTATGATGTATTATGAAATATGATTGAAATTAAATTCCTTTCTGGAAATTGTGCTATAATACTCATCTATAATTTTAAAAAAGCAGCACAATTTAGAATTTTAAACACAACTTTCAAAAATTGGTTTTTAAATATTTTAGTATTTTTTACTTATTTACGCCAATAAAAAGCATAAAAATTGAAAGAGAAAATTGCTTGTTTTAAATTTTCTATTAGTTCAGATTTAAAATATTATTTTCTAAAAGAAGTAGTTACAAATTTCCTTACAGCATACGAAAAGCTAAAAAAATGTCCAGTCCTGAAAGCATGCAATAGCTTTATAATTATTTGGAACATTAATCATGCTTGATAAATATGCTAAATTTTTAAAAATCAATCTCAATTTCAAAAATAAAAATATGTAGAAATTCTAATTTGTGAAATGAGGCGCTACAACCAGCTTTTCCTTGACAATTATACACGCTGCGATAGGCAATCAATGTTAAATTTCTGCAATTCGTCCCTGCTCCTCCGGATGTGATCAAGGTGACAGCCGGCAACGCCTCAAACGAGGGAGAAAACCCGTTTGGGTTAGTCTATTTCTTATACGGTCCATGGGGTGACGCTGATGACGTAGCTAGTTCGGAACATGAACTCAAAATTTTGAGAATTGAAACTTTGCTGACCTAAACCGAAACTTTCTCTTGATGAGCTTTCATGCTGGATAAATGCGCACTTTAGCTTCTCCCACCCTCCCTGTGATGACGCTATTTCGCTGTGCTCTCTTCCTTTCACAACAGTATCAAAAATATAAATGATCTTGAATAGGCACGATTAGAGTGCCATGTGAATTGCGGCCACAATTGTCAATTAAAATAAAATTGAATATTTAAGTTTAATCGGCTGCCAAGTTTCCTAATCATTACGGATTCAGCATCTTAGCATTCTACGCAATCAGAATTCTTCCTTTTCAATATGGATTTTGTTCTAAGCTATCTACGTGCTACTCCATCGATATTACTACGTCCTTTTCATCACAAGTGCTACACCAGCAGTATTTCTGCGTTTTTACGTACAGTGTTCCTACAGCAGTACGTCTAAAATTTATTTGTATCACATGTATATACTACTATGTACTTATCAATGTATCTTCAGCGTCTAAAACCAGGTGCACAAAAATGCACCACTGTAATTTTTGTTTTTACATGCGCATCAGTGTAGAGTTTTTGTGCGTTCCAGCGTAAAATCAGTGTAAAAGGTTTAAATATCGATGTAAAAACATGCTTATATATACACAATATATTACAGTGAGATATATATATATACAGTGAAAGTGCTTATATATACACAACAATGTACGCAGCAGCGTCCAACAGACTTTTACATATACGTAGCCTCAGTGTCTAAACCTAAGTGCCATCTGTGTAATATGATTATGTACGTCAACGGCGTATGCAGTGCAAAATAGATGTTTAGTATTAGTGCATTCTCAATATCTAAACCTGTACAGACATTAGGATTTTTTTGGAAGCAGAAGAAATGAAAAATGAGCAATGCCTTCGCCGGGATTCAAACCATGGGCCTCTCGAATACGCGCCGAGCGTGCTGACCCCTACACTACGAAGGCATGCTATGAAGGCGGGAGAAATACCTTATATATTCCACCTTTTAAAGGGAGATTGGGGTTTTAGGGGACCCAATCGCCAAATCCTGGTGGTGAAGTGATAAGCGACGGAGGACGTGGGCACTGTTCCTTTATCATTAGGTTAATCAGTACAGCACCACGTCTACCCTTATCTAGAGTTGGCTAGTTGGTGCGGCCACACGAGAGCTTCGCATAAAACGCGTCATTCACCACCAGGAACTAAAAGCTGAATCATTCACCCCGAACTAAAAGCTGAATCATCCTTCACCTTTTAGTTCGGGCGCCACTGTAGAGACATAAGGATTTTTTTTTTTTTTTTTGGAAGCAGAAGAAATGAAAAATGAGCAACTCCTTCGCCGGAACTCGAACCACGGGACTCTCGAATACGCGCCGAGTGTACTGCTAAGAAGGCGGGAGAAATACCTTATAAACGAGCCACAAACTGCCGAGCCGTAAAAGTTGCTGAACACTGGTAGTTTGTCCGAGGTTCGAATCCCGGCGAACGAGCGGGCTGCATGGGCGTTTTCATGGTTTTCCCCATGTGTAACGTGTATACGAACCAGCTCCCCTTAGAAAGTCTTCCACGAAGGCAACCCTCTTCTTAGGTAGATACCTCTCGAGTGCTTTTCGCTAAGCAGATGAACCCAACCAATATCTAAACCTGTGTGGGCATAAGCCGCGCAAGGAAAATTTATGTTTGTAAATGTAACAGTGAGGAATTTATATGTATCAAATCAGTATAAAGTGTTACATATCAGTGTAAAACGTTTAAATGCCAGTGCAAAATTTTCAAGTAACAGTGCACAGTATCAGTGTAACAGCTTCTTGCATGTTGTATGAAACTATTGTCTTATGCTTTTTCCCTGTATGGCCATTAGAATCAAAAGTTCCTATTAAACTACCGATGCCGGGTTCCTGGGGCGTCAGGGAGCTCTTGCTTTGTACAGTTGCGGATTCCGAATGATACCTGAAATGGCCTTGCAATCTTGTGTAAATAAATCTTTTGCTAGCAGTTACAATAAGCTGAACAGTCTTCGATAAAAAGCTAACAAATCAAGAGTTTTCATTTGATTAAATTAAGATAAACCAAAACGAATTGTTATTAATTTTTTATCTAGATTTAGGTTCCCGGCGAGGGCATTTCGCATTCTGTATCTTCAAATCTTTGAATGCAATTTATTTCACACTGTAAATTACTCAGCTCCATTTAGAGGTTTTCGCGTTAATTTTTAATGCTTATGAAAATAACGTAAACTCGAACTTCAAATAAAATTAAAATCTTGATGTCTTTGTAACAAACACTGTTGTCTGCAACAATTTTATAATTAAAATGTCTTCGGGGGCCTCCTGTTTTAGACCACAAATTTACAAACATCTTAACATTCGCAACACTAACTAAAAGCTTGACCTGAAAAGCAATTTATTAGTCTTTCTGTCAAATATAAATTAGCTAAACTGTATTACGCAGTACTAGAATGAGTTCATTCCAGACGATATTAATATGTCTGCAAACATTTCTCTTTCAAGTCAGAAATTCCTGTTGACGATAGAAACACGGGAAGTGTGCGATGGTTAAATCTAAAATATTCTTTTTCCCTATCACTACTGCTAAAATAACAAACTCATTTATACACTTAACTGTTCGAAAAATGTGTTTCATTTTTCATCCCGTGCGTGGAAACTTTGCAGACAGGAAATGAGAGACGTTTAGAACTGAAAGATATAATTTACACTTCACAACTCTTTTAGCTACCATCAGTTAGACTGACTGAGAGAGACTTTTCGAATTTACAA